GTGGCAATTAAGAAGGCCCAAGAGCGGATGAAGAAGTACTATGACCAGAAACGTGTACCAGCACCTGAGTTCAAAGTCGGAGACAAGGTGTACGTTGAAGGGTCAAAAGTGCAACAGAATCGACCATCCGAGAAGCTCAATGATCGACGTGTGGGACCATTCAAAGTGGAGGCAAAGGTTGGACCTTCGGCATACGAACTCAAGATGCCAGGTTCTAGTCAGGCTCATCCAGTCTACAATGAGACGGAGCTGACACCCTACCACGAGCCACCACCCCACCGGCGAGAAGAAAGGCCGCCACCGGACATTGTGGATGATCACGAGGAGTGGGAGGTTGAGGAGATTATGAAGAAGCGGAAGCGTGGTTGTGGTTGGCAGTATCTGGTGAAGTGGAAGGGATACCCGCATAGCGAGGATACATGGGAGACGGCGCAAAGGCTTGAGAACTCTCAAGAATTGTTAGACGAGTTCAACCAGAAGAACCCAGTGGTCAAGACCTGTAGTGTGCCTGTCCTTGCCCAGGGTCATTGGGATTACCTGGTCAAACGTTATAAGCCCGACGCAAGAGAAGCTCCCATATCCGTCCCGGAAACTCTTTAATTATCAGACTGGCCATTTTGTGGAGGCTGAAGGGGGGGTGGATGATGAACGCGCTTTAATGCCCTCTGTCGACGAGGACGTCGACCTTGAAGGGGGGTAATGTCAAACCCTGGGTTCAAAAACCCTTTTTCTTCGCCTTTTAAACCTTTTATTTTGGCCCTAGTTGATAAGATAAGACAAGGAGGAGATAAGATGGACGATAAGATGGTGATTGGATCATCAGATGTCGATGCTGATGTTGATTGACAGCGTAGAGTTGGACATGAGGCAAACAGCACGTAAAGGCATGGCTAAAGTATGACGTCATTGCCTCTCGTATTAGGCATGGTAAACACATGGTAGTAGTGTATATAAGTAGAGTAGATTTCGTCTTGTACCCCAGTCTTCGAATTCCATCATCTTTACGATATCCTTTCACGGTGCTTCTTGCTTGCCTTCACTGGCCAACTGGCATCCTCTGAATTGGTGTTGTTTGTGACAGGAAAGGCCCCAAAAAATGAAAAAAATGTTGATGCCAAGGTGCCAAGAAAGATACGGAGTTTGACAGCATGGATTTTATTAAAATGAGGAGAGAACTTGTAAATTACTGATGTTTTTTAAAGTGTTAATATGCTAATTACAAGAGATCTTTTTTTTAAAAAAAAACCTGTATACGCCTGAGGCCTCCAGGGTTGCCCTTACAGGCATGGCTAAAGTATGATGTTATTGTCTCTCATATTAGACATGGTAAACACATAGGGGCCTGCTTGTGCCTAACCATATAGGTCCTAGCAGAGGAGGATCCAAAGTGTGAACATTGGTAAGCAAATATAAATAAAGCTGACCTAGCAGGAGAGAATACAAAGAGAAGAACCTATAAGGGTCTGCTAGGTAGCTGACTATATACTGCTTGTCTGTAGCTGCTGCTGTTGTCACAGATAAGACCTGGCCCATCTGCTCCGGTGCTGGTGTCAGGCCATCGTGAACCTGCAACACACAGCACATGATGACAGGAAACAGGTGCCCTAGTAGGAGGAACGCACATGTGGGAAGCATGTGACTAAGGACAACATGTCGAGCTGTTGCTGAGCCCAACTCAACATCAGGGGATTGGGGAGGAGTGCTAAGAGGTTAGGAGTAGTACCTGGCCTGCAAGGAACGTACGATCATCCCCTCTGTGGCCAGGAACAGGGGTAAGGAGGAGCAGGAGAGGCCAAGGGTGTCCGATCACCCCTCTGCAGGCTTGTGTATATATAAGGTGCGATAGTGTACACTATACTCTATCGCTTAGATTGTCTATTGTACCACTTCTCTTGAAAGAAGTACTGCCAACTCATTGGGCCCGTAATGACCTGATTAGACCCTTCGACAAGGGACTGTGTTAATGGGCCCTTTTGGTTCAATTCTACCCTGCTCGCACCCAACCATCTGTCTGTTCTGTTCCAGGCATGTGTTCCTAGTAGAAGCCTTGCACAGCCCGACCCGAAGCCTGACAGCTGTCAGGCATAGAAGGCTTAGGCGGTGTCGCAAGCCAGGTCCCAGAGCAACTGTCAGGAGGGTGTTGAGGATCCGTGATAGTGTAGACAAGAAAAGGGGTTGGACCGAAATTGGAATCAGACCAGAATCATCTCTGGGAGGCCGAAAGAGATGTTCCCCTGACAGGCAGCAAAAGATGCTTCAAAGGGTATAGTTCAAAAAAAAAATAGGTCAATAGAGATTATCAATACTAAGTTTTGTGAGATATTTGAGAGAAATGATCAACTAATAAAATAAATTTAAGCACAGGTTCAGATATTTACAGTGAAAATCAATAGGTTTTATCAGCCACTTATAGCTATCACTAGGGGCACAGCCTACGGCTTGCCGGAACACGCAGGTCAAACGCGTGGCTGACCTCGTACCTACCGCGGGCCAGCCGCGTTGCTAGCGCGGACCCAGAAACAAAGAATTTCTTTGTCCTAGGACAAAGAAAGTTGTCACTGAGCAAGCCCGCGGTAGGTATGCGGTGAGCTCTGCGGCCGGCCCGCGTGTTCCAGCACGCCTTAGGTAATGCCCCCAGTGTATACAACTGGGAAATCCATAGATTTTCAAAGAAAAGTGGTATTCTGGTATGTCTTGCGTGGGACCTTGGCCAATTTATTATTATTATTAGCAAGGGGCCCCCGGATCAGCAAGCCGAAACATCGAGTCACACTTGTGACATAGGGTAGGGGGGGTCCTCAGTGGAAAATTCACTTTTTAGACTTATGTCTAAGGAAGGTCCAGGGAGGGTCTAGGGATGTCCAGGAGGACCATAACTGCATTTTATCTGTTTGTAGCACTTGGCACCAATAAATACAGCACATTTGATGGCCAATTTCCCAATTGGGAGAATTTTGTGATGAGTGTGATGTCAAAGAATGACATGTAAGCATGTTATCACCTCTTCTCTATCATCTCTGCTGTATGGGCCTTTTAGAGGTGCTGAGCACAAATTAGTTCTCTGATAGGGCACAGTTACAAGAAAATTTGTAGAAATTGTGATGCCAAATAATTTCCTTTTTGGGAAGTCATGTGGCTTAGTCATGCTTAGTCAATATGGTAGGGAGGCCCTCAGAGGCCCTACTCACATTAAAAGGGTACTTTAGCATGCTGAAGTGTTCCCAGAAGCTAGGAGAAGCCAGTGAGACTCAGTAATTGCATATTGTATTTGTATTTTTGACTGATATATCCAAAATATATTGGTTGTATTGTATTCTTGGACAGCAATAGAATGATGAACCTGATAAATAGGTTCCGCAGTGAAACTCCCTGTATTAGAGATTATTAGCAGCTGCAAAAAACAGCCTCCAGAAATTTTGAACTGGCCTCTGCATTTTAGAAATAAAATTTCAGACTAATAATCAAGGGGCGGGCGGAAAAAAATCCTAGATATCGGGTCGAAAAAGTGAAATAAGTACCAGCAGACCCTCATTTAATATCAGTGATACGGATATGATGCATGGTTGAGGCCACCAATACAATACTGATAAAATATGATACGCCAAATCACATATTGTATTTGTATCTGGCCAGCACTATATTGTTCTAAGTTGTTTGGCTGTGTTTGCACCGGGTATCGGCGGCCGAATTTTTCGGCCGTGCCAATGACAGACCATTTTCAGCTTGTTCCCACTCAAGAAATCGGGGAGGGATATAAACAAGATATCAACGACGAGTCTCGCCTTGTGCCTTGAGGTGCTTGCCAATGTCCCATCGATGCGCCCACATGGGCAAGAGGATTAAAAAATAACCAATTTGAAATCCCTTTGAATCCTTGCCACGCGATCACATGGCAACGCATGTCGCGAGATGTCGCGTCGCAAAGGTAGCTCCGAGCCAAGGCCGGAGACAAGGCACGCGATGATGACGTATGTTCTATGGATTCAGATGTAGGTCCACGATTTGATTATCCTTGATCTATTTAAATTTGTCGCGTGGCTTTTGTGGGTGTTTTGTTTTTCCTCGGTCGCAGTTCTGATTCAGGGCTGCCAGCGCCGGAAGCAACGTCGTTCGATGCTATTCAGAGGCGTTTGTTTGTTTGTCGCTTGAAGCACTAACAGTTTCATTCAGAACAGAGCCAATACTGGAGTTCACGCCGACAGTATTAATAGTCGTCTTCATATGCACCCCCCCGCCGCCGAGCTTAGGCCAGTCAGCCGTCGCGTACTTTTTTTGTGGCTTTTTAACAATATCGCACTCAAATTGCACCTGTGGGTGTTCCCCGACGGTTCCGGCTACCAGAACGCAACCATCTCGATCTTGAATTACAAACAGCAACAGCTCTTGGAGTAGACGATTCCCCGACGGAAGACACAAGTGCATATGGCCAAATTCTGACCCAAAACCTAGAGTTGGTGTCGGATAAGATCAGAGTCCACGCACAGATAAAGTGCACGCGTCCGCCGTAGGTCAGCGCTTATTGATGCTCAGTCAACGACGAGAACGAGCGATATGCGGCCTACGAGTAGCGGCAGTCTGGCGGCATCCCAGACTATTTTTTTGTCCTGCTCAAAAGGGTCAGCCTTGACAGCCTTTCGTAGAATAAACTTTCATTCGTTCCACGCTGTCTTGTCCTATATCTTATCGTGTCATTCCATTACAGCTGAGAACTCTGCCGTTGCATGTTTACGGAAATGAGTCCCTCGGAAAAACGTCGCGGGAGGTTGGTGCTCGATAGCATGTTCAGAGGAACCAATCTTTTTTGCTAACCGTGAAGGTACAAGTGATTGACGTTGGATTGACGCGTCGGTGCGGCTGGACGATCGACGGGGGCCGGGGGTAAGGCAGAACCGTCCCGAGTTGTTTGACACTTCCGCCTCTATTGGCTCCGGAGGTTACAAAGTCAACGCGGTCATTAATACGAAAACAGATGTACGATACGATAAGCATATTGCTAGCAATCAGTGCCTGTGGACCGCAAGCGCCTTGTTAGCTCCTTTTGTCGTCCTGAAGGCTTCCGCGATAATGGCCAGTCCGCTGTCCAACTCTTCTTGCGTGATAGTCAACGGCGGGGCCATCCTGAACGAGCTTCCAGTCCCAGGAATTCGAAGCACGTTTGCACTCAAGCCCAGCTCAAGCATGCGGTCGGCGAGAGCAGTTGCGAGGTGCTCATCAGGTTCTTTGGTTGTACGATCGCGCACAATTTCCATTCCTTGCATCAGACCTAACCCGCGAACCTCGCCTATGCACTCGTATTGAGCTTGAAGGCCAAGGAGAAAAGCGCGGAATCGGCGGCCGAGGGCTTCTGCACGCGCAGCTAAATTATCGCGTTCGAGAATCTCTAACACGCGAAGACCAACAGCGGCGGGAAGAGGATCTGAAACATGGGTCGTGACTGGATGAGGAATGAAGAGTAAGCTGCAGGAATCTCAATGAAATGAAGGGGTACTTCCAGAAAGAGAAGCCTCTAGAATGAACGACTTGTTCTATTTCCTTCGAGGTGACCACGGCGGAAAGAGGAAGGCCGGCTCCGAGGGTCTTTGAAAGTGTGAGGATATCAGGTACGATGCCGTCGTACTCGAAAGCAAAGTTTTTCCCAGTGCGCCCAACGCCAGTCTGGGCTTCGTCGACTGATGGGAATGCGTCATTCATCGGGGGGATGCGAATAAATGTAGAGACCTACCGATGAGAAGCATTCCACGCATTTCACAGTGTTCTTTGAGACGACGGAGGTATCCCGGTGGTAGGACTAGAACACCACCACTACTCAGGATGGGCTCCACGATTACTGCCGCTAGAGACCCAACAGACTGGGCGTCAATAAGAGAAAAGCCGTAGTCCAGCTCCTTCTTCCAGTCATAGGTGCCATCTGGATTCCGGAATGGGCTCCGGTAACCGTTAGGCGTGGGGAGTGCGAAAGACCCGGGGGCGGCTGGCCCGTAGCCTTTACGGGTCGGTTGATATGTCATAGACGCGGCGGCAAAAGTTACTCCATGCCATGAATTAGACAAGCCTGATGTAAATTGTATCAGCTGCTGTGAAGTGAGCGTGAGTTGCATTCGCACCGACTATCTCAAATTTGCCGGTGTACATTTTCGCGATCTGAGGCGTTGTCAGGAGAGGGAAAACGGTGGGGAGGACGAATACATACCCTTATAGCGCATTCATTGCTCTCACCACCAGTTGATAGCAGTTGGACCTTGTCGAGACCCGGAGGAAGTATGCTACTCAGCTTAGATGCGAGGTCGACAACTGGGTGAGACAGCATTCCCGAAAACAAGTGATCTAAACTGCCGACTTGCTCGCGGATGATGTTGACGATTTCTGGATTTGAATGTCCGAGGATAGAGCTCATCTAGCACTAGGTGAGACACAATATAGGTAATGACGGGCAACATACTTGGCCAGAGGTGAAGTCAAGGATAGCCTTTCCGTCTGCGTCGTAGAGGTAGACTCCATTGGCCCTTTCGATGATGCGACGCACAAAGGAGCCACCACCGCTATAACGGATGAGGGAGTCGTTAGCGCGGGACCAGAAGGCGTTGTCGTCATTCTTTGTGGGGGCCATTTGGGTTGCATGGTGGCTAGGGAGCTCGCCCCTTTAAGGCGAGTCGAAAAATGTGGAAAAAGGAGAAAAAGAAAATAAAAGTGATCTGATATTTTGATGGGAGAATCTCTCCCACGACATTTGCTCTCTGCCTTCATCGCGCTTTGTCCGACGGCCATCGCTCCCTCATCGCTCGTGTCCCCGACGGCCAAAAAATGGCCGGGCCTTTGCCAGTCGAATTAGCGAGTGAAAGACCGTATCGTTCTCGGCGCCAAAGGTAAGAGACCTGCTTCTCAGTCAGTATGCGGTAAATACTCGTCTAACAGACCTTGCGATCGCGTGCGTGAATGCTCCTAACGACCAAATAGGAGAACTAACTAATCTGCAGTGCCGTTCGCGTAAGCAACGGTCAGTCTACGCCTCCCTTGACCCTCACTTTGCTGAATAAGCATATAGGTGCATAACCAAGCCCAGCGGAACGTGCCTCAATTGCCAGATATCAGCCGTCGCGTGCACTTTTGTTGATTCTCCAGCTGCGGATCTACCTCGACAACGGAAAGCGAAACCCGACGCGAAATCACCAAAATCACCAAACGGGGAAGCCGGTTCCAGTCGTCGTTCATATGGATCGTCCGGATATACGAGCCCGACTATGAGTCTTGCATCACCAACAGTGAAGCTGGAAAGGCACAACTCCCTTGACGTAAACTCACCTTTGACGTCTCCACGCTTCGAGTTGGGCAGTGCTCTCTCTTCCATCGTCTTCAACTGGGATCCCCCTTCAATGCGGTTGGTCAACGAACCCATCCCAAGTCAGGTGCGTGTCGGCACTCTTATCTCATCCTTCGTTGTCATTTATCTCTGCATTCTAGGGCGAGGAAGACTTTCGGGCGCTGGATTCGGACGCCGACGATGATTTTGAACCACATTACGTCGGAGAAACGGCAGAGAGAGATGGCCTTGTCCTCAGCGCATTGGCTTCGGTTCACAGCAGCAGAAGTGGTGGAACACCCCCACATTCGACACCCTTTCGCGTTCGTCAAGTCTCAACAAATCAAACCGAACCCGTATTCTTCTTATTCGAGCGGGTGCGGCCCTATGGCGAAGATAGCGTCGGCAAATATACAAGTGCAGAGCTCATTGGGCTGCTTGGACCCAGCAACATCCATCGTCTTCTCCAGCAGTGCGTTATCTCTCTGTGCATAGACTATTGATAGCACGTGTTTTCGCAGCTATCTACGACTGGACGGTCTTGCAGTGCCGATATGGCGCTCCTCAGACTTCACTGACAATCCCGAGCAACGTTTGCCTGCCGGCCTCTTTTGCGCTTATGTCTCGCGGGGAATAATCTACGACGACCAATTACGACACTTTTCTGCAGATGCTTGGAAGGTTACCACGCTCACCAATCGTGCGCAATCCAGAAGTGCACGCGTGTCCACGATCCAGGCTAATCTTCTCGACTTGGACGGACGCCCTTCACTTAACCCCACTGGTAATTCAATGCTTCTTGGTCAAGTGAGTTCTATTGTTCACAGCGATCGTCCCACCGACACTCTTTTTCTCAGACCATTGCCGCCGGACGTCTGATGGGTCTTCACCTCGATTGCTCCTCTTGGTTGATTCCAAAGTGGGAAAAACAGCTCCGGATCAAGTTGTGGTGGGCCGTCCTTCAACAAGATAAATGGTCTTTCATCTTGATTTTTTCTCGCGTGGCGCCGGATCATTGACGCATTTTATCAGGTCTGCACTTTGTTATGGTCGTTCCTCCTACATCCATTACACTGACTGGGACGTCCCGCTACCGCCATGCGAGCACCCTAATGATTTTTCATTCGTCTCTTTATGCGAGCTCACCGTTATTCTTGATCGCATTCTCCGTGAACTGCATGTGGTCCGCCAAACCCAACGATCAACCGATATCCGGGAGACATTGCGCAAGATATCGATGTTTGGTGTTGAATTGGACACATGGAAGCATCGCCTTGATGCGATGGACAATTCGCTCAACGGTTATTATCCGCCGGGCTTCCGTTTGTCTCTTTTGCTCGGTTCCGACTGTCCAAAGTCTCACACGTTTGCTCCAGGTTCACTCCAACTATCTCATCTGGCAGTTGCTTTGCTCTTGGTTCGCTGTGTTCTGGACATTGATCTCCCACCGGCCGCTGCACATTCCGCGTACGATAGCGCTATACGTGTTACGGAGGAAGTTGTTGTGTTCACGTCCAGTCTTACTCCTGAGGATCTCCGAGGATATTTCACAACCTGCAAGTGACCTTTTTTTATGTCTTGCTGACATGGCTCAATTATCAGATAGATTCCGCTTTCCATTTCTCAACTTGTCTTATCCTCCTCGTTCGCCTTGTGCTGCAAGCCGATGTAACTGACCAGTCCGATGGCGCACCATGGCAGCGTATCTTGCATCAACTTCGGATTTTTATTTCTGCATTATCAAATGCCAGAAAATCTGTACCATCATTCGAACTAGGCGACCTCGCTCTTGCCCGCGCAAGGCATCTAATACCCCTTCTGGCCAAGAACTTTCCTGAACTCTCAATTGCGCTTGAACCGTTTTTGTGCGTGCTCTTTCCATTCAGCTATCCGAATCCTGTTTACTGATCAAATCTCAGCCCAGAGGAGAATATTCCTGTAGAGGTCCCGACAACTCCCTCGGGTTACGCGGCTCAAACACAGCATGTCTGGCCTGATAATAATGGAGCGGGACTGGATGCATTCTTTCCCGAGGTAACGCAGCCTGACTGGGCTGCGTTTCGGGACTACATTCAGGTCCCATTTTCGGCGGTAGTCCCGAATTCGTACGGGCAATGACGACTTGATTCTGCTGTAAACTAGCCTAAAGATGTTTGCCACGGCGACACACGTTGGCAGTTGGACGACGCGACGACACTTGGATCTACATATGCGCGCATCTTTTACGGGTGTAATTGTGATTATTGATGACTTGCTTGCTCTTGCATGTCGCGATATCGCAAAAACAACAAAACCAACCGTTACATTGGGTGGGAGACGAACCCCAAGAAGGGGTTTGCAGATGCAGAAGAAGCAAGAACCCAAATGCGCCTCAGGCGGTGATACCGCCGAACGGTGTGAACGGTCCGAGCCGTTGTCTACTAGGTGTTGTAAGTATATCCTCCGATTAGAAGCCTCTTCCGTGTACGTTTTCGTTATCTCTGCTTGTACTCTCAATTGCCATCATGTTCAACGCCACTGTAGCTACTACTTTGGCCCAGGTGTGGCTACTGGAGAGGAATAACAGCTTGAATTGTCGCACAAAGCCACAGAGGGGGGAAAGAAATACCAAGAACGTCGAGTGGGTGGGTAAGGAAGCACGGCGCCGCTATACAAGGTCGACCAAAAGTCCTCGGCACGTGGATTTCTTGGCGCTATTTCCGTCTTGAGAATAGAGTCGACGGAGCATTGAGAATCGCTATTCTCGGCCGGCTCGAGTGGTTGACGATGTTCGCAACTTTGAGGAGCAAAGTTCGGAGAGACAACGGTGATTTTCGGACCTCGCAGGACTCGGGAGTTGTTGTGGTGGATAAAGATCCCGAGGCCCATGCCCAGTGGCGTCTTCGACCGTGTCGCGCTGATTTTGCGATTAAACGCATTTACGTATGTCCTTGTTGACTGTTGAAAGATAACCCCAGTTCTGTCGGGAGTGAGATGCCAGTCGTGGGCGGGAGGCGATATGGTGAGGCCAATAATCCGCCTTCAGAAAGTGGACGGAGTTGAGTTGAGCCATACTGGGGCGGACACGTCCAGCTATTCTCACAAACAACAACCCTATATTTTTGGAAGGCACGGAAGCAGGTACGTACACACATATGGGTGCACATTTAGCTTGCGTGGCCGCCACGTCGGTCCCTTTAAGCGCTATTAGTGGCCAGGGATACACGGCACCGACTCGCGTGTGGCGAGGGCAGTCAGGAAAGGAAATTGTAGGGATTTGGAGCATGGTTTCTCAGATCCAACTCCGAGACGATGGCACAAACAAACTCCAGCCGGGTATGAACGGGCAGCTCGAGAGAAAAACAGCACAGACGCATTTAACCAGCGGTATAAGCTTGATCGGAGACGCTGACGCTCATGACCGAAGTTGCAGAAACTAAGTTTGCGATGCGGCTGTCCGTCGATAGGGAACTCCCAGTTCATGGTGCCGGTTCCATACAACAGGGAATATCGTCCAAAACAGGTTGCTCCGGTCTTGAACAGGCGATATATTGGTTGAAGTCTGAGCCCGTTCGAGTTGTATAGTTGGCGGAGCTGATCTGCCCCTAGCACAAGCATGAGCTGAAGAACTGGAGAATCCTCGCGGCGATCAGGCTTCGGAAGCGTGGATGTCAAACGAAGACGGGGACACCACATTTGGCTAGGCTTCAACGAGCTTCGAATGTCAGATGGCACGTCGCCTGTCGCCTTGAGGTTCTCAGACCAGTCGATGGCAGGTAGTTCCAATCTCAAAAAGTTCTTCAAGTTGCGGTCACATAAAACATCGAGAATGGTCTGGGACTGCGTTTGCCAAGAAATAAGTATAAGGACTGAAGAGGCCTTGGATGAGGTGACGGGAAGCCGAAATGGAATGACGGCTGCGTGGGAACACATCGACCCGAGGTATTTTTTTGCATACTTCCCAAGAGGTATCGGATCGACTAAGCGAGGACACTGACTCTCATGCACAGCCCTTTGACATCGTCCCCATTTAGACTAACCTGGGTTCGAGCCTTTGGCTGGAGACTTTTTCTACGCACTCTAACCACACAATTTGAACATGTAATCATATCAATGCTTTGTGTACGATAATCGCGGGATTTTGGCCTGCCGCTCATAAAGTCTTCGCTATCCCAGTCAACCTGGAGACCAGGGCAGCCGTGGGGAGATGCGCGAAACGGAGGGGCTGTCGATAGCCCGATGGCAGAGCTTGCGCTGGTATGTTTCCGATTCGCACGAGCACGGGCTAAAAGAAATCAAAAACTGACGCTTGTGAGTAGTGCAAGAATGAGAACGCACCATTACAGTTGTCGTTGCCTACGTGTTGCCTCAGAGACTCCATATTTGCATCAGGTCGGAAGATGTATCCACAGAATTGACATTCGAGGGTATTTGACGCGGCTTGACGCGTATTTGGGTTGTATATGTTCACGGCGAAGGAGGTGGAAGCCTCGGATGGTTGATATATGGCAGGGCCATTGGGTATGAATGCGGGTGAGGGAGCGCTGGCCGTATTTACATCGTGAAGAACTCGGTGACCACTCCTGTCCACTATGAAGGGCAGGAGATGGGGTTGCGACTTTGAGATACGTCAGGCAGCCGTCTGAGGTTGTTCGAGGCTACGCAATGTCGGAGGTCGGTGAGGCCTGTGAGGGTCGAAGAAGAGGTGTGACGTCGTGGGTCACCCACGTCCGGAGATATCTCCAAATTTGGGGGGGGGTCTGCCTCGTGGCTGATCCAGTGTCCTCGCTTAGTCGATCCGATACCTCTTGATACTTCCAGTACTTTTATTTGTTACGCAAGAATTATCTATAGAAAGAGGGAGGAATAAGGTCTCTCCCAGTCAAATTTGTCGCAAACCGCAAAGCATTGAGCTGCGCCAGTGCATTTGTCGACTTCCAAATAACGCCAACTTGAATCCGACGATATTTCTAGCCCCGTGCAATGTTGAATGATTTAGTCAATGAATCGGCGCCTATTGAGAGAGTCCGCAGCACCAATGTGGCTCTCAAGCTACGACGAATATTTGGTGCAAGGATCAACAATGATAAAAGCCAGTCCACATCACGAACCGACTTGGAGAGGTGACTGGAGTCATGGTTGGATAGCTGGGACCGCAATAACTGGCCTCCATTCTGCGGGATCATCCTACGATCTGGGGATATGTATAGCAGTGTTTTGACGCCCACAGTTGGTAGCCACAATAGCCGAGAGCGAGCATGAAGAAAACTACGTCTGGCCTTTGTCAAAAGAACCCGAAAAGAAATTCAAGCTGAGATTGGGGCCTAGCGCGCGAGTTGTGTTATGGGTTCCGAGTTGACGTGAATGACTCAGAATGAGTCTCCAACACGCAGACTTTGGCTTGAGTGTAGTTAGTGATGCAGTGATGTATTATTAGTATTACATGCTGGTTGGCATAGCTTGCGCGGTCGTCGTACCATAGAGAGTCAACAAAAGCGACTGAGCGAATGAACATTTGCGAGCGTCATTCCGAACGTTCAATGAGGGTCAAACGAATGTTGGTTCCATAGACAGACCGATGCGTATGCACGCAAAAGTTTGTCCGTCTTGTACTGTCTTGTAGCGATCCGAGATCAGCAGTCACATGTGATGATGAGGCTGCATCCAAGATACTAGTCTCTTGCGCCCATCTTCGAACTGTTAGAAACTTGCCAGTGCGTTGTTATATGCAGGACACTGGACCGTAAGATTATTGATACATACACTTGACTTTGTTTCGTTGGACTGTTGATGTCCTAATATCTATGCCCGCCGACCAGTCTGCTGTGCAACCTTCTTCGCCTCGATCTCCGCTGCCTTAGCTAGATTTTTTTGCATCAGGGAATGTAAGGGTATTTGATTTGGAATTAGAGACCCACCTTCAGCCTCTGCTTTGCGTTTGGCTTCTGCAGCTTCCCTGTCCGCACGGATCTTTGCGAGACGAGCAAGGTCAGATTTGGCCTGGTCAGTCTTCCCTTGAGTATGAAGCTATGACAATGACCATAAGTAAAACGAACTGAGAGGCAAAATCAAGTCATTACCTTCCAATACTTGTCCTTGGCCTCCTGCTTCTCCTTCTGCTCTCTTTCACGTCTGCTCATCTCCCTGGGCGCGCCGAGATCAGAAATGTTCATCTTCTTGGTGACATGGTTGGGATTGATGAGGTCCGCGTCTTCAGGGTCTGTCGTTTCGCCTTCCGCCTTCTTCTGCTTTGCCTGCGCCTGCTTCTTCTTCAGATCCCGTCGCTCTTGACGCGTGAGCTCGGGCTTCTCCTCCTCCTCAGACTCCTCCTCGGATTCTTCTTCCTCTTCAGATGACTCAGCAGAAGAGTCGGAGTCATCTTCATCGTCCTCGCCCCGTCTGTGATGGGGAGGAAGATTAGATGGTCGTTGATAGCAATGTCGAACAACCACACCGGCGTTGTCGATCGACAGAGACAGCGGTACCATTCTCGTCAAGAACCATGTTCTTGCTGTGTCCATATTCAACATCCCTGCACCAGAATACAATTGACTCGATAACGCACCTGAAGTTCCGCCCACCACCGCGCTTTTGCTTGAATTTACCTATAGCGATTATATCAGATTTGCATATAGCTCATGGTGCGCTGAATGCGTACCGGATCCGCGGACCATGGCTAACGACGAGCGGTGAGAGTGTAAGAAAGAGAGTCCTGTGGAGGGAGATTAAGAAGCGGTGCGGAGGTCACAGACCTGTCACACACTCTTCCGTATTTCCTTTTCGCGATGGCGAATGTAGCGTTCACCATCCCCTCGCGCCTGGCGCAAGTCACCCGGCCGTCGACGAATGCGGCGGACGCACGTATACGGGTAATCCAGATGTACCGCGACTGGTATCGCTCCGTGAGCACTGGTTACCTCTCCCGCAAAACCAAAGTGCTTACAGTCGCCAATCCATTCAGGCCCCGGAAATTGTTTCGCAGTACTACCTTGATGCCTCACCGACACAACTGCGGCATGCTATCCGCCTCCGCTTCGAGGCAAACCGCCACGTGACGGATGTGCGCGCCATCGACGTGCTATTGCTGAAGAGTCGCCAGGAGTACCAGGAGACGATGAACATGTGGAAGCAGCCAGACCATATCTACGGTATCATGCTCCAACCCAGGGAGAGGCCACAGAGGACCTTCTTGCAGAAGTTTTATGAAGGTGAGGTGTCGGGCTTTTCCCTCGAAGTTCTAATGCTCAAACGACCAATAGGGAGAGACGAGGAGGCCATTACACCTGCTGCGTCCGGCGTATAGACAACTGCAAACGTTTACATCCTTCACCTACAACCCATTGTCGCTTTCGCTCATCCACGAATGAACCGAAATCGAATTGAATGCGAATTGTACTATAACATGACTGCTAGATTCACAACACACAACGCGCTCTTCCATATTTGTTGCCCTTAACCCTAATCTTTGCGTTTGTTGCTGTTGCCTCCAGTCGCTTCGTTATACTTGGTGGCGAGGCGATCAAACTCGGCAGCCTGTTGAGCTGCTTGCTTTTTTAGCGTCTCTGGATTTTGGGTCAACAGATGCGCCAAAGCTTAGGATAGGACAAACCAAAATCTCGCTCTTTCTTGTTAAGCTCTGCAATCTGGGCTTTGAGGTCTGCGACTTCTGACGATGATGATGAGCCTTTGGAAGAAGCGCCAGTGCCCTGCAATATTTAGCTTGATGTTTTAGGGAAAATATCAAAAGGCCACAGACCTTGAGCTTCGCGTATTCTTCTTGGACGTGGATCAGGTCGAGGGTGAGGTAGAAGGTCCGCGTGAGGACAAGAGAAAGGAAGAGCGTGAATCCTGTTAAATAGGTATTGCGCTGGGAGCTGTAAAAACCACATTAGACATACTATTTGAGAAAGAAGAGAAAAGGTGCGAACTAGAACTTCCGTGCAGCGAGACTGTTCTCGACGCCTGGCGAGCCGGTATGGGCAGTCCCATTTTGTTTGGCTAACTCCGCTTCGGCGGTCACACGGAACATGCGCTGGAGGGCATCGGCGAATAAGATCGCGACGAATATCTTTTGGTAAATCTTAGTGCTGCGGACAAAAGGGCGTACGTGGCACCTACAAAGGATATTTTGAGTGCATAGGCGACCTAGCGAGGCATGAGGGCGCTGTGGTCCAAGATAGTAAGGCGAGCAAACCTTCGCAACTATAGGGCTTTCACTCAGGAATTTGAAGACAGGTTTGCGGACATTATGGGGAAGAGGGAAGACGAGGAAACAGAACGTGACCATCTCGCCCGCGAGGAGCAGAAACGTGAGGCTGTAGCTGGACAAAGAGTGGCATTAGTTATGAGCAAAAAGGTGAGCGTCCAACGCGTACTAGATGGTCATGGTGGGTTGGGTGGGTTGGGTTCTGGTTGGTTTGGTGCAAGATGCGATTTGTTGACGTCAGGATCGCACAGCCGCCGGCTGCCCATCAAAGGGTCCATCACTCCGCGAGGCAGCTTCATCCGAAAACCGATCATCAACCCTTGTACTTTCTTCCCTTCCCAACACCCCCACTCCCTTTCCCCGACTTTCACCGGACGCGCCAACTCCCATGGACCGTCCGTACCTTCCTACGGAGATTATATGCACTATTCTTTGCTTTCTGGAGGTCGACGACCTACTTCGGTGCGATGCGGTCCGTGGTTTGGTGTTGCTCGGGTGAAATCTCCACTGACCACTGATTTTGCAGGCGAACCGGTTCTTCCATGCCGTAGTTCAGGACTCTTCTCGCCTACAATTCAACCTCGAGCTCGCCAAACATCGCATGCTCTCTCTCCTCCCGCCCACCAGTCGGCCATCGTTCTCCTCCAGGCTCAAATTGATATGTGAACGAGAACGCAACTGGCGGTCTCCTCAATTGTGGGGTCCCCTCACTACACTAACTCTGCCTCCGACGGGTACGGTCTACGAGTTTGTTGGGTCATACTATGCAAACGGGTGGGAGGACGACAACAAGCTCACTTCAGGCATCACATTCTTTGAGCTGCCCTCGACAGAATCGCCCCAGCAACAGCCTCTCAAGACGTGGACACACGCCATCGGCTCACTCAAACTCGCTGATTTCACCATGGATCCAGCACAAGATCTGCTTGTCCTAGTAGCTCTCGCCCCACCAAGGTGTGTTTTTGCTTCTTTCATTTCATTCTGGCGCGTGATTAACCAACCCTCTACTCTTTCTGCAGCTCTTCCAGTGTTTACAATATCCATCTCCGCTCTTTCAAGACGAACGAACCACATCCGGAGAGTTCGCGTCAGCTGGGAATTCTCCCGTGTCTTCCTCGGCTACCCGAACACGTTCACCAGGCCACCTTTGAAGCGACTGGTGCAGTGCGTGTCCAAGTCGCTGGTGACCTCGTAGCGCTTCTTGTCAAGGAGGTTCATGACAGTGTCAGCGCACATCTACAAATATGGAACTGGCGTTATGGCGGACATCATTCTGTGAGTCTAAAACCTCCACTACGCCCGGTGTAAGATCCAAATCCTAATGCGGTGCTATCGCTATCAGTGTTCGCTTGGCTCGAGAACGGGAATTGAAGACTTTACCTTCCTCACAGACAACACCTTCCTTATCGTGCGACCTACGGGACGATTCGAATGTTATACGTTCGAAAACCCTGTTGGATGCTCAACAACTCCCGTCCTGAAAAGCAGTTACAATCTCCCACCTCTGGAAGACGGGTACATGTATTGGTCCGTTCCCGTCTCGTGATCATGATCGTTCATGAAACTAACTATCGATAGGTATATCTGCATGAGCAGCAACCCTGCGCCAGGCTATCTCCCCAAACGGGAAAGTTCTGACCATAGGGTGTACTACCCGCGCCCCGAAGAGCGCATTCATGCCTGTTGTTTGTACATCTTCAAGCCTACCGGCCCGGGCGACCATCGCGTTCATTCGTTCGTCTTCTTCCTCAACGTTAAAATGTTCTTGGAGCCTCCGCCGCCAGTCCCCGCTCCACGAGACCACTATCCGCTGGCGCCATACCTGACTACGAATGGCCTTGCTACCCGACCTCGTCGGGAACTTCCACCGTCAAGTGGCAGTGTTTCGATGCCATCAACTCCAATTGGGTCGTCGGCCCCTACCGGTCCGGTCTTGCCCAGCCAAACTCAACATCCAGCGCGCACACGGCAGCTGCGCTCACTGTACATGTCATCCGGTGGCGGCAGAGTTCGAACCGTCCCATGGGAAGAGTGGGGCTCCGCCAACACGCGTTGGTTCGATGATATGCTGAGCACGGACTGGCAGCATGCGTTGTATGGACTGAGGACGGTCGAGTGTGTTGATGAGCCATTGGTTATCAGACGAAAGAGGAAGCGGGGTAATGATGATGACAGAGGAAAGAGTATGACCGACGAATTTGACGAGGAAGAGGAAGAAGATATTCTTGCGTCTCCGCCTATCGACCCCAACACACTACCAACGGTGAACGACCTACTCAACGGGATTGGTTTTCATCTTGCCAACCCGGCAAATGCGAACCAACCAAACGCGGCTACTCCCAATCCTCTCAACATTCCGCTGCCTGCTGATAACTGGGTACGACCCAAACAGCGATATTTGCGGATACGCGATTATAATCCATATACCCTACGCCTTTCAGACGATGAAGATGAGCAGGACTATGAGCAACAAGGAGCATTCAATCGACCCGCAAAGGCAAAACGTCGCTGGACACGCCGTTTGGTGACAACTCCGTCGACAACTGCTTCGCGGGGGGTTTTTGCGAAAGACATCGTCAGTGCGCTTCCCTATGCAGAGGTCGTCAGTCGGGAACGGTATAATGTCACGGATGTGATGATGGATGACTGTCGGATTTTGCTCATGCAGGTGAGTCGTTTTGTGCTGAAGAGTAAAATTCTTACTCTTGCTTGTAGAGAGGACGTGGAGGGACGTTACAAGGGATCGATGTATTGACAATGTAGATTCAGAACGAAATTTGCAGACTCGATTGTCAGGGTTATTCACGCAAATTTGGCTTGACAAGTACATAACCGTCGAATGGCTTTGGGGAAATTTATCCACGTGGCTGGTCGTTGGCTCTGACGTTGACCCCCCTCTTTTCTCTAAATTGTGCTCGTGAATGTATATCGCTATCGCTAGCTATACGAGTACCCTAAGGGCAAAAATGACGGGTCAGAAGAAAGGATTGCGAGCGAGACTCAGATTCACGGCCCATCAACCCTGATGCATGACCACCATCGTTGATTTCCTGAACGGTGGCCACGATGGCGAACCTCATTTCGACAAGGATTGTCACCATCCTTCTACTGCCAAAGATATCAGCCTTCCGAAGATAGCCCTCCAACCTTTACCACAAAGGTATCAAGAACGAGTGGCAGGCTTCCGAACCAAACCCTACCCGCATTACAACTGCTCACAAACGTACGCAGAGCTCTATAGACTATGCTGCCAACTCACACTCACTAGAACCTTGATTGAGAAATACGTTCAGCCAGTAATTGATATTTTCCATACCTATCTTGTCGGTGAGAAGGACCCAGCGCGGTTCACATGGCAACATAAAACACTCCCAGGTCCTCGAAATTTTACCTCCCAGTCGTTCGGTTACTAACATGTTCTTGAGATCGAGAATGTGTTCGAATTCTTAAAAGGGACGGCAAAAGCAACACAATCATCCACTTTCTGGCAGAGTGGCGCAACTCAATATGCTAGCCTCCGGGGAAACTCTGCTGGGGGGCAATACTGCCTCATCCGCAAACTACCCGGTGTTCATTAATGAACGACTTTTTCACAACTTTCAGCCAGACTTTTATTCCCGAAAACCCAAGATATTTTCTGATCACCGATGGGCAGGGCACAATCGTCATCAAGTGGATTCAATTGTACTCTTACCGAAACGCCCTTGTTCGGCTTTATCCCGCGCGAAATGGCCCTACTTCTTTCCGTCATACGCTGTGTCTCCTGCTCTGTCAAATGCCACATTCCACAAACGCTCCCACAATGTTCAACCCTCTTCCATGGAGAAAGTGCTTCCATGGTGCTCTCAATATGCAGGCCCAGTCAGACGAGGCTATATCACCTCCTGACACGCCCTCGCGATTCAGGGACTTCGATCGTTACACCATGCAGCGCAACCCCTCAGATCTGAAAGTCTTTTTGGATTGGAAAGACGCAGAATCGAACCGGCTTTCAGAATGCCATGTTATACCTGGGACGATATTCACGGTAGATGTCAAAGCTTTGGAGCACGACGAAACTTTGTGGCGTTCCAAATTCCCATACCAGCCTATTCCTCCGTCGACAAAAGCCTATGTTGGACGTAATCCTCGTCTTCGGTCTAATGCGATTGATAAACTTCTTGCCTCGGGTCAGAGTCTCAACTTCCGAGTGACGGAAGTTGTTCGACACCAGCCCGACACCTTTTCACAAGTATTCTTTGGAGTGCTTTGTAGCTCTGGGGGGGATGTCTCTCCGCCCGTGTGTCTCAAACTCCTTGTTGAGCCCATGTTTCCTGTTCATCACGACCTTTTATGGGACGATTTTGAAGAAGAGGAACCGCCCTTCCGTCTGAGGTCTCTTCACTACGCCGAAGATATGATCAGACGGGAGGAAGCGGCCTACGATCGTCTCAGGGAGCATCAAGGGACACTGATTCCACATTGCTATGGTTTTCATCGAGTAGGTCGTTTTGGTCTGCGAGATAATGTGCTGACCTCTGCCAGTTTGCAACAGAAGGATCGGTCAACGGATATGGTGTTCTCTTGGAAATCATCACCGGTCCATCTTTATTGAAAGCTGAGCCTTGGACATGGACTGCGGAAACACAGCGACCCTTCGTATGTCGCGGCGTATGGATGTTCATCATGATCATATAGGCTGAACCGCTCTGTTAGATCCATCACCTTCGCGAATGCCAGCGGGCTCTACTGTATGCCGGAGTCGACCAAGGAGACTATCACGGCGACCAGATCCTGCTCCCCGACGGCCCGAACTACCAACCAGACACAGACAGCTTAGTTTTTATCGACTTTGCTTTCGCGTTCCAGAGGTTTGGTGATGAGCAGCTCCCGGGTATTGCAGCCACTTTAATCAATAAGGGTAACGGTGTACTTCTCGAGCTACTTCTGGAAACTTGGGGGATGCGTGATAATGGACACGGGACTTGTTGAGTTTGATAATTTGGCGATGCACATGGAGGAATGGTAGCGGCGTTGTTTGTTCGTCTGAGGGGCTGGTTAAACTATACCCTCAATGTTTATGCTCAGTAGTTAGCACTTTCTTCGTCTCGATATTGTTACTGTTCCTCACCAGACTGTACGTAAGCAAGTTTTAAATTGACTGCCTCAACGATCATGTACCTCTCATCCCAAGGCGCTCCTGAAGTGTTGCTCGTCGACGGCAGCTGCATAGTCAGAACAAAGACATGTTTTGTATGCATGCTTTAGCCGATGTCAATTGCCCCGAGTCGAACACCATCCATGACCACCATTGTCGACTTTCTGAATAGTGGGCATGAATCGCTGCATGATAGCACGCCTCATCATGAAATAAAGTGCTGCCACGCCCCTACAAGTCTGAAGCTGGACCTAGGGGGCATCACCTTCCAACCACCACCAACACTGTATCAAAAACATGTCGCAGCTTTTCGATTCAAGCCTTACCCACATTACAACTCTCCGCAAACGTGAGTGTCATTCAACCGAGATGGGCTTACATACTGAGGATTCACTTCTCAGAACTGTCGTCGAAAAATACGTGAACCCAGTGCTGGATATCTTCCATACCTACCTTGTTGGCCCAGACGACTCCGCGCGATTCACCTCCAAGCATGAAACTCTGCCCGGTTTTTCCCCCCGCAATATGTTCTTCCAACTTTTATTGATGGTTTGGTCAGATCGGGATTGTGTTCGTATTCACAAAGTGGATGGCGATGAGAAGGAATTGCACACGGTCCTACATTTTTTGGTGCGCCACTAACCTGTTGATGGAGTGCGCTAATGGTTCAGTCTCCTGGGCGCATCTGTTGGGATGGAATTCTGCCACCTCGGGATGCTGTTCACTGTTCGGTGACGAGCGACTTTCTTGAGCACTTCCAATTGACTTTTCTTTCCCAACGACCGAGATATTTTTTAATCACGGATGGACACGGTATCATAGTACTCACTTCAATGGAGCACTGGAGGAATACCTTGCGATTAGCCGAAGTCTGGTTGTTTCCCGCCTCCAATGGAGTCAATTCTCTCCGTCATACATTATGTCTCCTGCTCTGCCAGATGCCACGCGCCACGGATTATCCGGCAATATTCAATCCACACCCATGGCTTAAACTTTTCCACGGAGCTCTCAATGTACAGAAGGAGCCAGAACAGCCTATCTGCCCCCCTCTCAAGCCCTTGCAACTCGAAGACTTTGATCGCTACACCATGCAACGCAGCCTTCCAGATCTCAGAGAGTTCTTAAACTGGAAAGAGAAAGAGGCTGCACGCTTCTCAGAGCGACCTGTCATACCCGGGACGTCATTCACAATTGACATTAACGCTTTCCAGCACGAGGAGAAGGAGTGGCGCTGCTGCTTTCCAAATCAGCCTATTCCGGCGCGGACGAAGGACTTCGTTGGACGCTATCCTCGTCCCCGATCCATCACCATCGACCAGCTTTTTGACTCACAACAGGGTCTGACATTTCAGGTGACAGACATCATTCGCCACAAACCCAACACCTTTTCACAGGTGTTTTTTGGAGTGCTCTGCAGCTCCGACGGAACTGTGTCTCCCAAGATATGCCTTAAATTATTTGTTGGCGCCATGTTCCCCGTGGATGAGGATGATCTATTGGATGATTTCGTGACGACGCAACCGCCCTTCCGCCTAGGCTCCTTGAATTATCCGGAAGATCTCGTTAGACGTGAAGAGGCGGCCTACAAGCGTCTGCAGAAACATCAAGGAACCTTAATACCTCATTGCTATGGTTTTCACCAGGTATATTGCAGTACTAAAATATGGATTGCCCTCACTGATGATGCCCAGTTTACAATGCAAGGCTCACTCAACGCATATGGTGTTCTACTCGAAGCCATTCCTGGATCATCATTAGCTCAAGTGGACCCGCTGAAATGGGAGCTTGGTGTCCAACAATCGTTTGTAAGTCACGCTGTTTGATTTAGCCGTCTATTCAACTACATTTTTGTCAGATGTGCCACCTTCGAGAATGCCAACGTGCTCTTCTGTATGCTGGGGTTGACCAGCGCGATTACCATGGCAGCCAGATTCTACTGCCTGACGGCCCTGAATACCGACCAGAGACTGATTCCATCGTCCTTATCGACTTCGCTTTTGCGGTGCAAAGGTTTGGTGATGAACAGCTCCCCAACATTGCGGCCACTTTGATGGGGCAAGGAATTGGCGAACTGATGACCTTGCTCAAGCATATTTGTCACCCGCAGGCGACAATGAAAACGGCATTTCGCGAGTTCGCTCGTCGATCCATGCATATTCAAGAATGGTAGTACTTAGTTGTTTGTACCGCTCGTGCTTGATAAGCAAACCATGACCGGTACATACCGTCATCCTTGAACTTATTAAGGGCTTGAAGCAGCTTGAACCGACAATGGCGATCAAACCGTGACGTCACAGATTTTTTCTTCACTTCCGGCGCGACGTTGACACTGCACACGGCAGTGAATAAGGCGCAGCGATGGAGACCGCACGGTGATAACATTTGGAGCATACTCTAGCTTGTGCCGATTCCCTGCAAGTTGTCCACCATGACCACCATTGTCGACTTTCTCAATAGTGGGCATGATAGCACGCCTCATTATGAAGTTGAATGCAACCACTCCTCTACGAGCATGAAACTTGACCTGGAGGGCATCACGTTTCAACCAACACCTGCATTCTATCAAAAGCATGTGGCAGCTTTCCGCTTCAAGCCCTACCCACAATACAACCGCCCGCAAATGTGAGCAGAATTCGACCATTCTGTTTGGCTTGCGGCGTTAATGCACTGCTTTCCAGAACTCTGGTTCAAAAATACGTGGATCCAGTCTTCGATATATTTCATACCTACCTCAGAAGCGCAGACGACTCTGCACAGTTCACCTACGAGTGTGAAACTCTCCAAGGTCTTTGCATTTCTCTTCCCACCCAACTGTTGGTAACTGTTTGGTCAGATTGGGATTGTGTTCGTATCAACAAAGTGGATGGCGATGAGAAGAAACTGCACACGGTTATACATTTTTTGGTGCGCCATTGACCTGTTCATGGAGCGTGCGCTAATGGTTTAGTCTCTTGGGAACATCTGCTGGGGTGGAATTCTGCCACCTCGCAAAGCTGTTCACCGCTCCGTGACGAGCGATTTTCTTGAGCACTTCTTAGACACCTTCTTCTCCGAACACGAACAACAACCTAGATATTTTCTGATCACTGATGGGCACGGTATCATGGTGCTCACCACAATGGAGCACTGGAAGAATATTATGCGAGCAGCGCAAGTCTGGCTGTTTCCTGCCTCCAACGGCCCCAACTCCCTCCGGCACACACTATGCCTCCTACTCTGCCAGATGCCACGTTCCACGAACTATCCGACCATATTCGACCCAAGTCCATGGCGTAAATTTTTTCATGGAGCTCTGAACGTGCAAAGAGAAGCAGAACAGCCTATCTCCCCCCCTGTCAAGCCCTTGCGATTCAAAGATTTTGATCGTTACACTCTACAACGCAGCCTTCCAGATATGGAACTGTTCTTGGACTGGACAGCGAAAGAGGCTGCACGCCTCTCAGAGCGACCTGTCATACCTGGGATGTCATTCACAGTTGACACTAACGCTTTCCAGCGGGAGGAAAAAGGTTGGCGTTGCCGCTTTCCAAATCAGCCTATGCCGGCGCAGACGAAGGACTTCGTTGGACGCCGTCCTCGTCCTCGATCTACTACCATCGACCAGCTTCTCGCCTCTCAACACGCTCTGGAATTTGAGGTGACAGAGGTTATTCGTCACAAACCAAACACCTTTTCACAGGTGTTTTTTGGAGTACTCCGCAGCTCCGACGGGAATGTGTCTCCCAAGATATGCCTTAAATTGTTTGTTGACGCCATGTTCCCTGTTGATGAGGATGGTCTTTTGAATGAGTTCGTCACGACGCAACCGCCTTTCCGCCTTGGCTCCTTGCATTATCCGGAAGATCTAGTCAGGCGTGAAGAGGCGGCCTACGAGCGTCTGCAGAAACATCAAGGAACTTTAATACCTTATTGTTACGGTTTCCACCGGGTATATTCCAGTACCAAAAATCTGTAATGTCCTCACTGATGATGCCTAGTTTGCAATGCAAGATTCACTTAACGCATATGGTGTTCTACTCGAAGCCATTCCTGGATCATCATTGACTCAAGTAGACCCGCTGAAATGGGAGCTCGACGTCCAACAATCGTTTGTAAGTCACGCCGTTTGATTTAGCCATCTATTTAACCACATCTTTGTCAGATGTGCCACCTTCGAGAATGCCAACGTGCTCTTCTGTATGCTGGGGTGGACCAGCGCGATTACCATGGCGGCCAGATTCTACTGCCCAATGGCCATCAATACCGACCAGAGACCGATTCCATCGTCCTTATCGACTTCGCTTTTGCGGTGCAAAGGTTTGGTGATGAACAGCTTCCCAACATTGCGGCCACTTTGATGGGACAAGGAATTGGCGTCCTGATGTCCTTGCTTAAGCATATTTGTCACCCAGACGCAACGATGAAAACGGCATTTCGCGAGTTCGCTCATCGATCCATGCATATTCAAGAATGGTAGAACTACGTTGTTTGTACTGTTTATACGTGAGAAGCGAACCATGACCGGTACCATCCTGCAAGCTGAAGCCAAGTTGAAGCGTGCGCGTGAATGTGGATGAAATTGAAACCGTGACCTCACATTTTTTTTCCTTCTAAAGTTTCATTCGACCCTGCACACACGGTAGTGGCCGTCCTCGCGGAGCGATGGCATCTAGCACTCACTGGCAAGAGCTCATAGAAGCAATTGCAAGAGGTCATCTTAGCATCCATCTCAAACATTGCCTTGCTTCCACGTCCTTTTATAATCTCTCCCCCAACTAGTCCCTTGAAGTACATCTTTATGCTTCACCCTTTATGTCTAATTCTTCCTCCTAGTCGACATGTCTTCTCCACTCGAATTTACACCTAACCTGAACCTACCCTCCGACGAGGACATTATCGCCCACTGCAAGAGGAGCGGATTCCCGCGAGGAACCACGATCACCGATAGTTCTGATTCGGTAATCGCATGGGTCAAATGCGGTATGAATGTTACGATGGGCGAGGCACGCATCAGGAAATTAACCAATCCTTTCGCAGGCCTTCCGAGACCTTCCAAAAGGTCTTTTGGCCTTTTGCATTCCAGCAAAGGTCTTCCGACATGCAGATTGCCGACATGATGAGTTGACCGGGAAGAAATGGCGTCATCTTCGGCGAAAGAAGCCCATTTCTTCCCACCCTTTTTCTTCCTCCCCCACCATCTCACTCCCTTTCCTGTCGTCGTCTGGCCCTATCCGCAAGCGTACCTCCCCTCAAAGCATCTCTTGGATCCTGCTCAACCTCATAGAACCTCAAGCTTCGGAATCTTGCGTCAATTCTACAAAATTCAAGACTACAAGCGAGCAAGTCACAATTTTGTCGTCGCTCGGCGGTCGGCGAGGCGGAGCAAGTGCCAAACGCAAAAGCCCGCAGCAAGCGCTAGTCTCTAGCCGACCCAACCTGCTGCTCCGCACCACATTGTTTCCGTCCACCACATGCACCAACAGCATTCCGTCCCCTTTCACTCCCTTGCCATTCCCGCTTCCACCCTGCTTCAGCGCCAAGCTCAGCGCCTTACGAAGTCCGACTCCGACCCCCCCATCGCACGACAACACGGGCGCAACCGGACGCGGGGAATGTCATGACATCGAACGAGGGCGAGCCGGCGCGGGCTGCAAGAACGTGACTGGGATGACGATAGTGATTCGTGAACCGGGAGGAATATGGCGGCATGACAGGAAGTCGAGGTCGTGGTTACTTGTAGTATATGGCAGTAGTCTGTGAATACAAGTGTTGCTTTCAATGAACCTGAAGATACTGAGAAAGAAAGAGATCTTTTCAGTGCCTTTTAGCTGGCCTTTTTAATGCCTTTTGGGCCAAAAGGCCTTTTGAAAGGATGGGACCTAGCTTTTGGAAGGCCCGAAAGACCTTTTGCCTTTTTGGGACTTTTCCTGGCCTTTTGGTCCTTTTCGGCCTTTTGAAAGGCCTAAAAGTCCCCAGAAGGCTTTTTGTGAATTTCCTGATGCGGATGCAGGATTGGACTGCTACAGCTCTTCGCGAGGCTGGCCTCACGGACGTACGAGTGCCTTGCGTATTCAGAGCGTTGACAGCAAATTATCTCGGGTGCACTATTGGATATATCATCATGGAACACATTAGGGCTTGGTTTTTATAGGGGTGTTTATAAACCGGTTTATAAACACCCCTGTTTTATAGAGATCGACAGTCTTACTATCAACTCTCCACATTCTTTCTGGAGACTGCTAGCTTGAGCTAGAACAGCTCTAGCTAGGTTGTGGAGACACCTCCAGCTGCATTCATGAGGCAGCAGCAGTGGCATTGTCAAGCTAGCTAGGGCTGTATTGAGTAGACCACTGTAGATGACTTGTCCATTCACCTATAGCTGTATTCTTCAAAGCAGCCCAGTCAATTCTTCTTAAGCAACTGGGGCTGGCCCTCCAAGGCAACTCTAGCTGCCCACTCAGACAGCCTGTAGCTGGTTTCTCAGTCAACCTATGGTCCTACTACCCAAGGCAACCCTAGTTGTTTGTACCAGACCACCAGAGCTGTTCAAGTCAAGACAGCTTAAGGTGTTTGCCTAAGGTATACAGGGCTGCTCTGGCAATACAGCTGGGGCTGTCATCAGAATACAGCTGATGCTGATCTCACATCTGTGACTAGGGCTTTGTTCTAAGAAGGCCTGATGATGCATTCACGGTCAGGCGTGGGTGTGACGTTAGATTTGTGGGCGCGTTTCTCTGTTCTCCGTTTTCTGTATCAACAATACAGTTGTGACATCAGTCACATTTCCTCGTTTCCTCCTTCATGACTGAGGAGGAGAGCATCCCTTCTGTTGGCTCCCTCTGCTCCAAATGCCAGATTGGGACTATTCTTCCTTCCAAGAAGATAAGGAACTCCTCTGTGGTTGGTCTTAATGGCCAGTACTTTTCCAAGGGAAGTCGCTTACCTATCTGTTTCCCAAACCTCACCTCCTCTACAGTGCTCTTTATGTTGGCCAGCTCAAGGGCGCCTACCCAAAGGCATTCCCAACGAGGCGCGTTCTCGCAGATGTGCTGTCTATTTTCTTCTTGGAGCTGACTCAGAGACAAATGCGCGGGCAAGTGATATCTCTTCCTTCATTTGCTGAGAGCTAAAAATTCTTTCTAGCCTCCTGGGGAGGTTCACTGTCTTGAAACGGCATTCTGTGGTGGGCAGGGGCTCCGTAGCGACTCATGCTCTCACTTTATCTGTCAAGAGTGCTGTCTCAATCTCAAGACACGCCATCCCGAGCAAGGCTGCATTTTTGCTGATCATTGGCGTAAGAATTATCTCTGTTATGGCTAGTACTAATGCCTGCTTCTCAGCTGTACAAAATTTAAACTCACCATCAAGCGTGTCCACCATTTCCACTGTGTCCACACCCTCTGGGGCCTCCGCGTCACCAATCCAGTCTGCGCAAACCACACCTACACCCGCGTCACGTTATAGGCGCTCGTACGGTAATAACCTCTCCAACAACCTTCTTCAAAACGGCTTCCCCCCATCATTTGCTCAAAATTCTCAGCTTGGAGGTACACAGACTCCCCGCCATCTCAGTCGACCAGAGATTGGACGTCAACTAGAAAGAGCTATTACCATTGAGTGGTGTTCAGTGCGTATTCCCTCTGGCTTTCAAACTACCCATCTACTCAGCTTCTCAATAGGCCCCTGATCAAAAGCCGAAATCTTGCAAGATTCCCGCTGACACGCTCCCTCTCTTTCTTCCCTGTCAGAGCTCAGAGCTCATCCAGTTCACCCAAAAAAGCGCCGAACAACTCCGCATTTACTGTGTTCCCATGGATGGACACTGGCAGGCCCAAGCCTTGGCTCTGACCAATGTACAAGCAGGTGACCACATTCTTCTAGGTCCTATGGAGCTAGCGGATGAGGTCTGTCCTTTCGCCACCCAGAAAAGGCCGCGCGCCAGTAGCGACTCGTCTCCTATTAAACGTGTCAAGCTTGAGTGAGTTGCATCTAAATCCCTATGCCTACTCCAATCATATCTAGATTCCACGACACGGCTATGACATCAACTCAGACCAAAACGCCTCCACCCGCGATTATAGATCTGACCGATGATGACAACCCATTTTTAATAACGTAAGATTAAACGTCAATTCTTCAACGAGGACTGAGCAGCTCCCATAGTAGTCCTGCTGTCAGTACGCCAGTCACGGGGATCAAAAGGTGCGACAGGGAACTTTACGTTGACACGTCTCACGCCTTTGTCAGAGAGGCACTTCCTACATTCCCCCCGTTGTACACATGTGAAGTGGACAAGTTATTTCTGGAGCATAGTCGGTATGTGGCTGGGGGGGACAAGGTGCCAGAGGCTTTCAAAAAGGTGTTTTCCACTCAGTATGTGAATGCGAGCTGGTATGCGCACTCAAGTCTTTGGAAAAGTTTACATGATGGGAAAGCACGGGCGGATATTCTGGATATGTACCAGCAGACACTGAATGCGGGAGCAACAGAGAAGGGACACTGGTCCCTTGTGCGCGACGTAGCAAAAAGGAAATAATCTTATCTTATTTATTAGTTTAATTTTTTTTATTTATTATCAAAAAGCTTAACGGGTCTCCGCAGTTTTGCTACCGTTTTTTCTTCAGACCACCATCATGGAGAGTAACACTCGCTCTGAAATGAAGATTCCCTCTGCCCTTCTTGACCGGCTCAACCGCGAAAGTCAGCAGCGCCAAACCCCTGATGGTGATCGTGCACGGCGTCTCCTGTCATCGCTTGCCCAGAGCCGCAACATCCGTGACCGTTCTTTACGCAACCAGCCTGACAAGATGGTTCAGACTCTTCGACACAAGGCAGTACAGTTCCGACTTCATTTTGTCAAAGCCTTGCAAGAACCCGTGGGACTGGATGAGGTGGAAAAGGCTTTATGACAGCTCATTCGACTGTCCTATCTGGAGATCAGTGTATGTGTTCGTTTATTAATTGTTCCCCTTCTTCTCACATTCAGCAGGCTCTTCCAAATGCAAACCTCATAGAATCTGAAGGCGTTGAAGTGCCCAACAGTCCCGACACTCCTGATGATCCCAACGTGATACAAGACCCACCCCAACCACCTCAGAACGTTATCCCTCAGCACACCTCCTGTGCGTTTGCTTCCTTTTTCATCAAATCTTACTTACATGACATTTAGTTGTTATGACCGTGGCGTTGCGTGACCTCGCTAGCCAGTTCAATATAGTCCAACGCAAACAGAAGACTTTTGAGCTTACCACGGCTCAGCTGTTCCCAGATGTCAAAGAATTGCCCCTTCCACCCATCGTCGAGATTCCTATCCAAGGTGTTGTTCATTTGCTCCGCAACTTCTTGGAAGAAGAGAGTCTGGGACTGTCCGGTAGGGTAAAATTTGGACAATAGACTAAGATTAACCTGATTCCTCAGACGCGTATACTCTTACTATTCACGAACAACGCATGGGTACTGAATTCAAAGCTGGTTCTA